TAGATAAAGTGAACAATCTAAGATCAAGTATTTTCTTGTTCTGCTGAATACAGTGATCCAGCTCATGGTTTATTCAATTATCTAGTTTTAGCCAAACAGATGCAGAAGTAGAAGATCCTGCAAAGCTATTGACAGCCACACGGAATAATAAAAGGCACAAGAGAGAAATACCAAAATTTATGCCAGTGAACTAATGTAGGTTAGCTTCCCATGACCCCTCTCCCCCCCCCCCATTTCCTGAGATATAAGAGGAAGGGAAAGAAAACACTGTCAGGTTTTGATTATTCCATTATTAAAGCCAATATCAAAATTACCAGGTCTGTTTCCTGACCTGGTCCACCTCAAAGGGCTGATACCAATAATGTCCACAGACTCTGAAGACTTGTCTAGTATAAGACAGCTAGTTATAATCTTAATAACCTTATGGTTTAAAAATAAGAATCCTATTTATAGGAAAGAGAACAGATATTTAGTTTAAGAGAATTCCATGCCACAAAAAGATCCTATTAGCAACATATTAATTATGAAACAAATTCAAGTACTAATTGTATATTTGTTTGTTTGTTTTTGTGTTATAGTTACTTCAAAACACTCAACTCAGGCTAAAGTAGGGCATTAAATAAACACAAATTCTTTGTGCAGAGTTAGCACAATTTTTATAGCTTTTTTTTCCTTATAAATTCCAGACAAATTCAACGCCTTTGTTTCAGCTCAATACCAATGTCTACAACAAATGTTTACATTTCATTTAAGCAGCTTCTAAAACCCTGCACCACACCCCAGCAACTACATAAAAATTCAATTTGCTGCAAAAGCCGATCACACACCTGTTCAATCGTCTGTGTACACTGCCTTTCTTAAAGACGTCATGGTGTATTAGGCAAAACATTTTACTTTAAATGTGTTTTAAAGAAGTGCATTCTCCAATAAATATTTTGATGATTGTGTTTAAATATTGTTTCCAGTTTTAATCCACATTTTTAAAATATCAATCATTAACAGAAAATGTATTGTTACAATTGTTGTATGAAGAAGGTTGTTCTAGGAAAATGAAATATACATCTCTTTCTCACTGACATACACAGTTGAACTAGATTAGGAAAATCTACAGCACCTAAAGATCTGAAGGACAATTATATTCTAGTGAACTAATCAGCCTCAGTATGAATTTAATTTGATTCTTACCATAGAAATTAATACAGGAACTCTATTTCAACAGTTACATGCTGGAGACATTCCCTGAAACCGTTTCTTTTGACATAAGAACTACATTTTGGCTTAACAAAGTCCTAAAATTTTGAAAATATCAGAAACATTAACTTTCCAAAAGTATTTCCCAGCAATATATGATGCCTATTTCTCTGGTAACAGCAGATGTTTACATCCTGATATTAGAGGGAAGTTATACTAACTGACAAAATGGCAAAAAAAAAAAAATGTTGGTAGAAGGGAATGAGAAACAATTATCTTTTTTTCTCTCACCAATTTCTCACCATCATCTTTTCATGAATTTATGGGACTTTTTCTTTGATACTTTTTAAATATTTTCTACTCAAGTACAGATACATGCTTCTTATCAATTATGGAATGTATGCATTCATAACATGATGCACATATCCAGTGGTGGGATTCAAGTAATTTAACAACCGGTTCTCTGCCCTAATGATTTATTTCAACAACCAGTTTGCCAAACTGCTCAGAAAGTTAACAACCGGTTCTCCTGAAGTGGTGTGAACTGGCTAAATCCCACCACTGCACATATGCCATTAAAGTAATCTAAGCAGGCCTGAATAACTTGGAGAATAAAAAGGGCTGACAAATTAGAAATTATTGTGGGCTGCAAAGGAATTGGTGGCACATCAGCCAGCTGTTTGGTGGCTAGTGGAGTTGTGGCAGCACCGGAACTGGCAACAGCAGTGAGGCTTGGAAGCCTAGATTTATGGTAATCCCAACCTATGGGCCCCATATTGAGGAGGCTTAATCTAAAGCAGGCTTTTTGTGGGGGAATATAATTTGGAATCATAGGAGGAAGGGATTCTTTCCAGAGGGCAAAGAGATAGCAGAGCTTGGAATGTCTGGTGGGCAGGAAGAGAGCAAGGATTTTCTCTCTTTCCCTAGCAATTCACAGAGTATATCTATAGTTTTGCAGATAATCTCTTTAGTATGGCAAGATTCTGTCTCTAAGTGAAAAACAACAATAATGAGACTATTCAGAAGTAACTCCTTATATTGTTCTTGGTTTATTAGGCCTGATGGTTTTAGAACCAGTGATACTGCATAATATGCAGTATCAATTCAGAAAGGATAGGTGCTAAATGTAGTGAGTATATTTTAGGATTTGGAGTGTGTGCGTAAGAGAGTTTGTTTTTTTCTTTTGCTTTCCAAGGACTGGACACATGATAGCTTGTACATGGCAAATAGCTGCCATGAGAGACTTTTACAAAATGGCTTCCCCATGATCATAGCCACAAGGCACAGAGGTTCTCCCAGATGAACAGGGTGGGATCCTAGGAAGATCCTAAAGTATTGCTATAAATCAGAGGTAGGTTTCAGCAGATTCTGACCAGTTCTGGAGAACCAGTAGCGGAAATTTTGAGTAGTTCGGAGAACTAGTAAATACTACCTCTGACTGGGCCTACCCCCATCTATTCTCTGCCTCCCGAGACCCAGCTGATCGGGAGGAAATGGGGATTTTGCAGTAACCTTCCCCTGGAGTGGGGAGGGAATGGAGATTTTATAGTAACCTTCCCTTGCCACACCCACTAAGCCACACCCACCAAGCCACGCCCACAGAACCGGTAGTAAAAAAATTTGAAACCCACCAGTGCTATAAATACATAAAGGTCAATGCACTGCAACATATTGTCCTAATTATTTTTTACTATAATGATACAATAAAGAACTCATGTGGGCAGTGAATATGGTGAGAATTAAGGAAGTGTCTGGGGACACAGTAGTACCACATATACGTGTAACCTAATTTGTCAACTCATTTCTGTCACTATGGAAGCATTTTCCCTATGGTGTTATTCCAGATGGTTGTGGAAGATTCTGATCCATATAGGAATGACTGAGATGATGCAGATTTCAGATTCACATATGACTCAGTAGTATAAGAATGCATCATAAGGATGAGGACCATAAGCTAATTGTGTGTGAGGTAAGCCATGATGATCAAATAACACGATAACAACAAACTAGCATATGTTCAAAGAAGAGCCACAACAATGTTAAAGACAAGTTTCTATAAGGAAAACTGAATGAAGTCTGTATATTTAGCCTGCAGAAGAAACAACTAAGAGGTAATATTTAACTCTTCCAATATGTTGCACATTCTACAAACGTTCCATTAATGTTGGTTATGCTGCAGGAGCAAACAGGAAGGGTAATTAAGAATATATGTCCAGCAAATTATATAATTATACTATGCAATGAAATATTTGCCTCAGTAATTCCAGGAGGCATTGTTCCTTCATCTGCAAATATTACTAGTGCAATGGCTAACTGACAGGATTATGGATGTATTTTGGAACAAACAGATTTCCTTCATGCTATATCTTTCTAATGCTGATATCACAATAAGCGGTTGCCATCTTGCAGGGACCTTCTGCCCTTATAGATACAACACACTGAAGCTATCTCCAGATGATGATAAAGTTGATTCAGATAAATGCTTTTCAGCAAGAGTTGCTTCAGAAGCATTGCATGATCAAAAAGAGGTGATTCTCTTTATCCTACACCCGTGATGACGAACCTATGGCATATGTGCCAGAGGTGGCACACAGTGCCCTCTCTGATGGCATGTGAGCTTTCGCCCCAATTCAGCTCCGCTGCATATGTGCGTGTGCCTCCCGCCAGCCAGCTGGTCTTCGGGTCTCTGCAGTGCATGTGCAGGGGTGGGGCACATGCGAGGTGCGTGTGCACATGTGGGGGGGTGGGAGGGCATGGGAGCATGTGTGCATGCGCAGGGTGGGGCACGTACAGGCGGCGTATGTGCATGCGCAGGGATGGGGTGGATGCATGGGCCCCACGCATGCATTGCATTTTGGGGGTTCAGGTGTGCGCACATGCATTTGCACATGCATGCACACTTTGGGTACTTGGTCCGGAAAAGGTTAGCCATCACTGTCCTACACCAACTACACCGAAGGCCAATGTTCTGTTAATCGTGGAAAGTATTACTTCATGATATGCCATTCCCTAAAGTTATCCTGATGTGCTATTAAAATCCCACTTCAAGTAAATCTTTCATCCCACTTCAAGTTCATCTCAAGTGGAGGAAAATAGGCTAATTGTGTGAATCATTTATACAAATGGAGTACATACAGTAAATGGGTTTTATTTCTCTATGGGAAAGACAAATAGCTATGCTGCTTAAAATGAGGCATATGCCAACTTTATTCTTTGCATCTAGAAAGTCCAAAGTTCATCTTGGGAGACTCCGTGTAAGATTAGGGAAGAGAATTCACTGAAACTATTGAAACACCAAGGCTTTTTCCCCCGCACATCTTCTTAAGCCATAATATTTGCTTTTAAGTTAGTGTGATGCTTGAACCTATGTTTTAGTTTTAGGCACAAATGGAACTATTACGCTTTAATCAACCGTGCATTCCTAAAACCCTGACATGATATTTATCTACATATAATGTAGACAATTTCAAGCTAAATGGCCTGACATTCCTAATAAAGGATATAGTACCTCATGCAGATTTTCAAAATAGCTTCATTGACGTCTGGTACTTAAACAAGACTAATTTAAAAGTTCTCAAGATTGGCAATCTTAGACTAGTAAGATCTGAATAACAAACTATCCATTATTAAAATGTCTGTATTTTTAATGGATGTAGATATATATACTGTCTTTTACTCAAGAGCTTATGGTGGTACACAATTGGCTTTATTTTTTCCCCACGACAGTGCAAAATAATGCCTTAAGTTTTGTTTGCTAAGCAATTCTGCATGTTACGCTACAAAAGATACACATTTTTGACAGGTCTTACCTTTGCCTCTTCATTAACATCCCAAGTGAATGAAACAGCATTATAGGCAATTTCTTCAATATTTCCAATGGTGTTGAAGCTTTCCTTATAATCAGCTGTAACAAACAATAAAAAGATCACAGATGCTTATATAAAATGCAGACATTTGTCCTTCCATTCCAATAGACATGTATATGTAATACGTGTATGTTATTGGGTATGTATGTGTGTGTGTGTGGATAGATAGATAGATAGATAGATAGATAGATAGATAGATAGATAGAGTTATTTTTTAGTACTGCAGTTGTGGCTCAATTTGCCAACACCAACATTTTCTAAACAATACTACAACTATTCTTTAAAGTTGGTAATAAGATACTTGAAAGATTACATAACCAGGTTCCCACTTATTAGCCTAATTATGCCAGCCCGTTATTAATTTTGGTTGATTTCATTATATTAGCCAATATTTTATTGGGGGAGTTAATTATAGAACAAATAATTGGAGGGGGTTGCCCTGGAAAGTACCGGTATGCAGAATTCAACCATTAATAAAAGACAAAAAAAGAGAGGATTTTTTTTCTGAATTGGCACCAATCAACTGTAGATGTCAACTAAATTTAGCTTTAAATAGTTTTTACAAATCTCACTGAAAAATCTAACAAGAGATGCCAGCTATCCTTTGTACTTATGTTCTACAAACATTCACTATTGGTGAATAAGTAGAAGGATAAAATCTTCTTGCATATTGTCCAGGAGTAGAAGAGAGAGAATATTAAAAAAAAAATAGAATAAGTAAAAGAAGCAGAAGAGGCACCACCTGGGGTAGGAGACCTTGGCAAAAATAACACATGCCCTCATCACCTCTAAATTAGACTACTGCAATGCTCTATATGTGGCATTTCCTTCCAAGTTTGCAGTTTGCATTATACAGCAGCCCTAGATACTAATGTGTATGATAGCAATTGCAAGCAATAGCACTTAGACTTATATACCGCTTCACAGTGCTTTACACCCGTCTCTAAGCAGTTTACAGAGTCAGCATATTGCCCTCAACAATCTGGGTCTTCATTTTACCACCCTCGGAAGGATGGAAAACTGAGTCAATCTTGAGCCAGTGAGAATCAAACTACCAAACTGCTGGCAACCGGCAGTCAGCAGAAGTAGCCTGCAGTTCTAACCATTGTGCCACCTCTGCTGTGATAACAGCTACAGCCAAATAAGACCTTCACTGCAGGCACTGCTGTAGCTCTCCTAGTTTCTCTGATATCATTCAAAATATTGGTTTTAACCAGGAGTGAAACCTACTTAACTTCCTTACCGGTTCGGAAGTGCACACGCCGTGTGCATGCGCACACTCATTCCACTCGCGCATGCATCACATGTGATTTTGGACAAACAGGTTACTTCCTGGTTAAAATCAGGAAGTAATGATGTCCGGATGAAGCCTCGTGCTGCTGCCACTACTGGTTCTCCAAACTACCCACCACCGCTGCTACCGCTTTGCCTGAACCGGTGCGAACCGGTAGCATTTCACCCCTGGTTTTAACCTATAAAGTACAACATGGCTTGGCTTCCAGTTAGCTTGAGGTGCAACTAGATTGTCCCGTGTGCTGGTCCAGATTAGAGAGATGCAACAACTCCCTGCATAAAGACACAGTTTTTCTAGAATGGTCCCCATTTTGAAGAAATAACCCCAAGCGGTAAAGGAGTTGTGGTTTGCAAGGCTGTAAAAAAAGGACTTGAGAGTCAATGTTATTGTGGTTAGTTTGGGGTGGTGCTTGTAACTGTTCTTTTCTTTTTATTTTTAGTTCTATTACTGTTATGCTTTTATTGTTTTTACAGTTTTATTGTTGCATATTCTGAGGCTATTGTACATTTATGGCTTATTTATATTGCCAACCATCAGAAATCACTCCCAATGCAATGGCTTATAGCAAATAAATAAATTGTTCATGGGTTGAAGACGACCCCATCACACCTGGGCAGCTTTCCAAAATGCAGTTTTGTGCCAATCTAGTTTGGCTGGAAGGGGGAAAAAACATGAACGTTCTGTATGACACATTCTTGATCTCTTAATCATACTCTAGAGACTGCTGGTTTATTATCTATCATGGGATTGCAACTCATTCTATTCCCTAAGATTCCTTTACATTCATCAAAATAGATTTATAGAAATCTCAAGATTTTATATAGTGATATAAATGAACTGAATTCAAGGGATTTCTTTAATAATTCTACGGATTCACTTTCAAAACAAATTCATGGGTAATATAAACCCAGAAACCAACTTTTTGGAATGAAAGAATTACAGAATTAAATTAATTTAACTTCATAGAAAAGATCTCATGTAAGCAAAATGTACATTTCTACAATGAGAATGTGAAAAACCTCTGCCCACCCTCTTGTCCCTTCTTCATTTTCTATATAAAAAAAATGAAACACATACATTCTACTCAGGAGAAGTTTATAAGATTAATATTCCCCATAGCATTTACATGATAGAAATCTCTGACTGACTAAAAAGAAAGAATTTAGGGTAGACTCTTTTGAAAGGCTGGGATGCTGTCTGGACAAGTGAAACTATCTGCTTGGAATGTCGAACACACCGGAGGGCACAGGGATCTGTGGAATTTTCAAATAGACCTGGTTTTCTTTGAGAGGAAGGTTCCCAGATGTCCATGTATCAGATTTTTAATCTAACTAGTAAAAAAAAGCAGGGGGAGGGGCATCCTTCACAACACAGAATAATATTACGAAGTTAAGCCACTACTGCAGGACAAGTTAAAAAGATTAGATAAAAGATTAGAAAAAATATCAAGGATCAATGTCGTTAGCATAAAACCATAAATTCTAGTAGGGAGCACACCAGCTCCCCTTCCCTACAGCTTCCTCTTCCTCCTATTCTAGCCTTCTTTCTAATATTTATTTATTTATTTATTAGTCGTAGATTCAGGGCAGCTTACAATGCATTATAGCAATAGCCTGCATATTTTTTTGTATATACCTGCTTATTAGGGCTTTCGGGCCCTCCAAGCGATGTTGTTCTATACAAAGTTGGCTTCTTGCTCCCACAATCCGGGTCCTCAATTTACCTACCTCGAAAGGATGGAAGGCTGAGTCAACCTTGAGCCTGGTGAGATTCGAACTTGCACTAATTGCAGGCAGCTGGCAGCTAAGTGCTAGCACTTAACAGCACTTTAGTCCGCTCCACCACCGAGGCTCTTATCTCAGATAGATAATACTATCTGTTCCCCTTGGCTTTACTTGCAATACACACCCAATTTATATGGCTGCCCATCTATCCAAAGAAACGTTGGGTAGAGAACAAGCAAAAACAAGGCACAATAAAAATTTCCATTAAAAGCAAAAACAAACAAAGCAACTCGAGGTCCAATACAATCTCCATAGTCATCCATCATGAGCATCCATGCTAAACTCCTGTTGCTAGCATCCTCCTAGCCCCAATGCTGGGAAAAGACACAATTCTTCATAGCCTTCCAGAAAGCCAATAGAGTCAGGACCATCCCAATTTGGGGATGGGGAGAAGATAGTTTCACTGGGCAAGCACCAAGGTACATGTTCAAGGCCCCCCAGGTAATCCTGTTTCAGCATGGGTGTCTGCAGGATGTCCACTCTGCCAGACCTGGAAGGTGGGCAGAAATCACTAGAAGAGATATTAGAGGGCACTAGTCCCAAAGCATGTAGGGCTTTCAAGATGACAGTCAGTACTTTGAAATTCATTCAGAAAACTTACTGGAAGACAGTAAGTCTTCTTTTTGCAGCTGCCAAAAGATAGAGGGCCAGGATAGAATAGAATAGAATAGAATAGAATAGAATAGAATAGAATAGAATAGAATAGAATAGAATAGAATAGAATAGAATAGAATAATTTATTGGCCAAGTGTGATTGGACACACAAGGAATTTGTCTTTGGTGCATATGCTCTCAGTGTACATAAAAGAAAAGATACATTCATCAAGAATCATAAAGTACAACACTTAATGATAGTCATAGGGTAAAAATAAGCAATCAAATCATACTAGGAAACAATCAATATAAATCGTAAGGATACAGCAACAAGTTACAGTCATACAGTCATAAGTGGGAGGAGATGGGGATAGGAACGATGAGAAGATTAATAGTAATAGTAATGTAAACTAGTGAATAGTTTGACAGTATTGAGGAAATTATTTGTTTAGCAGAGTGATGGCATTCAGAAAAAAACTTCTTGTGTCTAGTTGTTCTGGTGCTCTATAGCGTCATTTTGAGAGTAGGAGTTGAAACAATTTATGTCCAAGATGTGAGGGGTCTGCAAATATTTTCACAGCCTTCTTTTTGACTCGTGCAGTATACAGGTCCTCAATGGAAGGCAGTGTTGTGGCCTGCCAGCAGCCTGCACGGCTTGTGGCTGATCCTGACGACGAGGAGGCTGGTGTGGTGTTACGCCAGCAGCCTGTGCAGCTGGCGCTCGCGTCGGATAGCGAGGAGGCTGAAGAGGATGTGGTGCCAGAGGCAGAGACTCAGCCAGGGCCTTAAGAACCTCCAGAGGCTCCTTCAAATGCAGAGAGTGAAGTGGAGGAGCCTCTCCTCAATGCTCGAGCACGCAGAGCTGCCAAAAGGCAGGAGTGGCTACTCAGGAGGAGGAGGTCTCCTCGAGAGTAAGGCTTGGGGCTAATTGGCCACTCCTTTAGCCTATTTAAGTCGCACACAGTTAGCAATTGTTGCTGGAAACAATGTTTAATTATTATGAAGCGCATTTTGGAGAGTGAGTTTCTTATCACATCTTGGTTTCTGGGCTAGTTGCCGACCTTTGTCGGACTTTGTTTATTCTTTGTACTTTATAGCAGGCTGATAAGGACATTTGCACTGAAAGCCTGCATTTTGAAAGGGGTCTGTTTGTAATAAACAGAGTTTTTGGAACTTGGTGTGTGTCACACTCCTTGGGATCTGGAGCTGGAGCAGAACAGGCAGGTTGGTAGTAATTGTTTGGATGAATACACTATTGGATGAATACACTATCACCATCCTAGGCCCACCAGATGTCACTGACAACATATAATTTTGCAAAACTACTTCTACATTCAGCAATATGAACATTAAAAAATTAATAATCTTAAACTGCATTTGCTAATATTAATCTACTACATCCTAAGCCTTCTTTAGGACCCTGAGACAACATCCAATTTAGGAATAAACTAAATATATTCTTTGCATGTGGATGCAAATATGTGGACTAAACATGTTCCTTACATGATTCTGTAGGAACAATTTTTTTTTAAATGTCCTGGAAATAAGAGATGGCAAACTTCTCCTTCATCTCTTGGCATGAAACTTGCAGGGCACAAGTGCCTGTATGGAAGCTCTCTGAGAAGAAAGATGGGACACTTTGCTCAGGAATTTGCAAACTAAAATAATGAAGGTTTCCTGTTAGAAAAAGGCTATTTACCCCAGATATTGTTAATCCTTTTAGCCTTTTTTTAAGGCTGTTTACCCCAGATATTGTGCCTTAACAATTGCTCAATATTCATAATAAGCTGATGCAGGTCACTTTTCAGGTTTGACCAGTACCGGTAGTTAAAATATATAATTGGTAACTGAACTGATTTTATCTGATAATGCTGTAAGAAACTTTGATTCCTAATGTTTAGATGCATTTTTCTTTTTACTTGCTTACGATTTTCTTTATTTCAGAAAATAAATATCTATATCTTTTCAAAGACCACAAAAGAAGTTTTGAAAGTTACTTGGGAGATGGATAAATGATTGGCATTTACTAATGAGATACAACCAGTGGTGAAATCCAATTTTTTTTACTACTGGTTCTGTGGGTGTGGCTTGGTGGCCGTGGCTTGGTGGGCGCAGCACGTGAAGGATACTGCAAAATCTCCATTTCCACCCCACTCTGGGGCCGGCCAGAGATGGTATTTGCCAGTTCTCTGAACTATTCAAAATTTCTGCTACCAGTTCTCCAAACTGCTCAAAATTTCTACTACCGGTTCTCCAGAACCTGTCAGAACCTGCTGGATTTCAACCCTGGATACAATCCAGTTCGTCGGGAAGATACCAGAAGCATTAAAAACTGATATCAAATGCAATATATCTTATGGCCAGGCCAGTTGAAAAGATATATAGGAATATGTGACTGGTTACTATGATAATGAAAGAGAATAAGTATCTCAGTGGGCAGTTTCGTAACAGAAAACTGAAGAGAAATTCTGGGAAACTAGAATCTGCACTTTTGAATTAACTTTGAACACAAGACTTGCTTATTCTGCTATTTTCACCACAAGTTGTTTTTATAGTACTAGTTCACCTAAAATATTTAACACATAAAATAAATTCAGTTTAGGCTTTGAAGATGTAGTCTTTGCTTAGACTGAATACTTACTCTCCCAGAAATATTATACTGTAGTTTTCAAGAGGTGAAAAGGAATTTCCATATTGTAAGTTTGCATCAAGCATGAAATTTTTTTTAGCGCAGCCTTGTTGCATACCAAACCAGACTTCGTTTGCCAATTGGTTATTCCAACTTCAGAATAAAATTTACTCACGGGGCTACTTCATCACTCACCAATGTCCAAGACCCTCTGTTTAGCTGTGTGCTGTCGTGAATGCCAATATTTCCAGTGCTTCAACTGTTCATCCCGGTTTTTATCTTCACTGAATACAACCATGATCACACTCTAGAAAGACCATACAACAATCATCAATTGGTTATAGTCACTAAACCAAAATGCTAAACAATATAAATATGCACACACACATACATATATTTCACATGATGTAGCATAATACAGCATTAATGCATAAAAAATTTACAAAACGACAGATAAAATGTCTATCAAAATATAAAACATCAGAGCAGTGAATTATTTTAAAAACCCACAGCATGAGTAATGAGTAAAATTATGTTTAAAACTGAGTTATATGTGAGTTAAGCCTGGATGGCTAAGCCTATGGCTGGATATCTAGATCATTTAGCCACTGGACAGCAATGCCCTTGTGGTGATGCATTTCATGCAGAGATCCAGGGAACCTTCTGAAGAGATATTCCATCATAATATGATGTAAAGTTTGTGGGACGTTCCCACAATCACAGTCAGGATTATCAACCAGGTCCCATTTACTGTACATTTCCTATATTGGCACCTACCATGGTTGATTTGAATCCAGTTGAGTGCTGACTGGCTGATGCCCTCTGTTTAAAACTCCATCAACCAGTCATGCCTCCGATGCTTTTTGTAATGTACCTTGTTTATCATAAGGCAACCAAGCTCTCATGTCAAGAGAAACAGAGGAAGAAACTCATAAAGGCTAACAACAATTAAGCAATCCTCAACTTACAGAAATGGATTGAAAAAGTCAGTTAAGTCTGTTGAGTCCTATGACCTCCTTACTGCAGATATCCACATTAAAGCATCCCCCAAGCTCTGCTTTTTAAGATCTGTTTGTACATGTCCAGTGAAGCAGAGCCCACCACCTTCCTTGGGGATAAGATTCTTTTACCATCTGAATTAATTGCACTGGACAAAGAATTCTTTGCTGAATTACCAGTTATCCAGAGTGGTGGATTTCCCACAGTGCCCTAGAGTCATGTCATATTAGGCACACAGTAACACCGAAATGGTGTTTAAATCGAATTGCCTAGTATTTCTCTGAATAGCTAAAAAGAAAAAAAAACTGAAAAAAGTCCCAGCCCTGCCAGCAGACCAAAAATGCAGGCTTCACATGGCATTCAACCAATTCAAATTAGAAACAAGTCTGGCTATTCCCAGACAACAAACCACAATAATTCCTTCTTGTATAACTTAGTAAATGAATGGCAGAATTATGATTGTGGTCTGTGGCTTGCCGTGACCCACATTTCATATTTAGAGCTCTGAACATCTTGAAGAAGTAAAGGAACATCATCAGGGGTGGGCTGGTGGGGGTTCGCAGGGGTTCGGGAGAACCTCTAGCTAAGATTCTGTGCAGTTCGGAGAACCCCCAAATCCCACTCCTGGCTGGCCCCGCCCACCCTGCCCCTCCCAGGGGTCCCCAGGCAGCCCATTTTGGTTGCAGGTAAGTGCAGGGCGCGTGCGGAGGCTCGGGGAGGGCAAAAAATGGGTCTACTGGAAGTTTGGGAAAATCAGAAATGGGCCTGTTTCCAGCCTCCAGAACCTGGGGAGGCCATTTTCGCCCTCCCGAAGGCTCGAGGAAAGCCTCCGGAGCCCAGGAAAAGCAAACCCCCCCCCACTGTGGTACAGGAGGCTGACTAGGCCACACCCACCATGGCCACGCCCACCCAGCAACCGGGCAGAGAACCCCTTGCTAAAATTTTTGAAACTCACCCCTGACCATCATCTTTCATTGAAACTTGCCTGAATTTTAGCATTATCACTTTAGCATCAGATCTTTCTCCAAGTCTCCATATCTTCAGGAATTACTGAATTAACTGATGACAGGGAGATGTGTTTTTCTTTATGGTACCTTATACTCAGAAAAACTTGCTTGGTATCAAATATGATGTCTTCTCAATGCCCAATTAAAAATGCATTTTTATTTGCTTGTGTCCCTAGTGTAACTTTTTAACAGGTGGTCTGAAAGCAATACTGGCACAAATAACTCAATATATCCATACACAAAAATGGCTATAAACTGGGAAAGGATCTCAAAACAGCCCTACTGAACTTTGAAGAGATGCTGTTGTTTTAATACTTTAAGATATGTGGATTTCAACTTCCAGAATTTCTCAGCCAGCCATGCTTGTTGGGGAATTCTGGGAGTTGAAGTCCACATGTCTTAGTTGCCAATTTTGGGTACCCCTGCTTTAAGCTATGGGTTTGAAGGAGCACTTTCCACTAGCTCTAGTAGCTTTTGCGCAATCCTTGTTATCACTTTTTTTTTTTTTTACATAGAAATCTTAAATTGCAAAACAAGACCTTAACATTTCAAAGAAACAGACAATATCTACAATAATTTAGCATTCCAGGACAGGTATCGTGGTGCATGATATTTTGTTTTGAGAATTCAGTTTCAGGTTTCTGATTCACAATCTTTTTGGAGAAGAATGAGCTTAAGCTTCTATTAAGAGATTGGTTGTTATAACTGTATTCAAATTTCAACAGAATGAAAACAAGGACACATATTAAAAGTCTTTAGCCAACCAACATTATTGATTAGTTAGTATACATGCAAGACTAGCCATACCCGGACTTTGCTGATTGGATATCTGAAGCATTTGTTGTCCCCAGCTTCACTCAGTGTTACAGCATAAAACTGCCCTTTGTTTAAGTAAGTCATTGGTCCTTCTCCTTGTTTTTGGCGGAGGGATTTGGTAGCTTCCAAAGTATATCGAAATGTGTTACTATGAAGAAAATAAGAATAAACTTAGAAAATACATTATTGAGGAAAAGTTGAATAAAGGCCTTAGAATTTTAAATTCATGCCTTAGATTGATGCATTCATTCATATAATTCACTTAGATTTATATACCGCTTCACAGTGCCTTACAGACTTCTCTAAATGGTTTACAGAGTCAACATATTGCCCCCAACAATCCGGGTCCTCATTTTATCAACCTTGGAAGGATGGAACGTGAGCTGGTAAGAATTGAACTGAATCAAATTAAGCCAGTGAGAATCACTGTAACAGCATTAAGTTATGCCATATAAAAGGCCACACTTGAAAATCCAATCCAGGTCAATGGCAACTATTTGGGATTTAGATATGGTCAGCATCTAAAATATACATACACCCAATCCAGACACAATACTGAAATTTATATAAAGTTCCTCGTTTACAGTATGCTCAGCTCACATAAATGCCAAACTTGCTTTTGTAAAAGAAAGACCTTTCTCAAGACAAACTATACAGCATAGCCAATTTATAACACAGACAGAATGCATCTCTTCCATTTACAACTTTTGCAAAAACTCAGTAGATGGAAAGGATAAAAATTTCACAATTGAAAAAAATACAAAGAAATTATACATTCCAGTAGCGGATCTTGGACTATTTGTCCCAGGAATACAAGATTTCAAGCACAGCTCTGAGCATATTGGATCAAGGTTAGTTGAAAAATAGAAGAACTATGTAAAAACTCAGATTTTTCACAATAGTCCCACTATGGTTTTGCTGAGAGAGTTTGCTGAACAAAATACATCATATCTCTTCTCATTCAGCTAAAATTTGCATTGAAATGACACTTAATTTCCAATTCTTACAATGGTAATCCTGTCCCTGTGTTTGTTCATATCAAGTACAAGACCCATCTTTGTAGTCAGATCATGTAGTATAACACCACCAGGTATGACTACCATCAGAGCCAATGTTTAGGAAGTACGGGTAGTCCTCTACTTACAACAGTTCATTTAGTGAATGTTCAAAGTTACAACAGCACTGAAAAAGTGACTTACAACCGTTTTTCACCCTTTCAACCGTTGCATGATCAAAATTCAGATGCTTGACAACTGGCTCAGATTTATGATGTTTGAGGTGACTTGGGTCATTTGATCATCTTTTACGACCTTCTGACAAGCAAAGTCGATGGGAAGCCAGATTCCCTTAAAAACTGTGCTACTTAATTAACAACTGCAGTGATTCACTTAACAACTGTGGCAAGAAAGGTCATAAAATGGGGGCAAAATTCATTTAACAAATGTCTCGCTTAGCAACAGAAATGTTGGCCTCAATTATGATCATAAGGACTACCTGTATGAGGATGTTGTTCTTAATTGTTAAATTTAAGAGCAGCTGCCCAGGACTAAGCAAACATTTGAACCTACATCCACACTCAGCACGATAGAGTCTCCTCACCTTATCAACTGGTAAACATTTCATATGAAATACATGCTTGCGATCCAGGGATCCTTCCTAACTGAATGTTAGTCTCAAATTCAGGATAGAGTTAAAGAAATATGGATTTACTTTTTAGCATAGATTATAATATCATCATTCCTATCACTTATCTCCTCCCACTTACGACTGTATGACTGTAACTTTGTTGCTGATATCCTTAAGATTTATATTGACTGTTTCCCTATGACTATCATTAAGTGTTGTACCTCATGATTCTTGACGAATGTATCTTTTCTTTTATGTACATCAAGAGCGTATGCATCAAGACAAATTCCTTGTGTGTCCAATCACACTTGGCCAATAAAGAATTCTGTTCTGTTCTGTTCTGTTCTGTTCTGTTCTATTCTATTCTATTCTATTCTATTCTATTCTATTCTATTCTATTCTATATATTCTGCCATTTCACTCAGCTTTCTTCTGTGTTTAAATGTAGTTCTCATAGTGACTGGAGGGAGAGTAGATTACATCCTATTGTAATTCCTGACAGTTAGAAGAATTAATCAGTGGAACGACTTGCCTCCAGAAATTGCAAATGCTCCAACACTGGAAGTTTTTAAGAAGATGTTGGATCACCATTTGTTTGAAGTGGTGTAGGGTTTCCTGCCTAAACAGGGAATTGGATTAGAAGACCTCCAAGGTCCCTTCCAACTCTGTTATTCTGTTCTATTCTATTCTAAAGGAATAGAACCACACAGCACAATGTGCTTCTTCACACGTAATGGCTTACGACCTGGATACTTATGGGACCACCTGCTGCCACCAGCAGCTTCTCACCGGTCAGTACGCTCTCATAGAGAGGGGCTCCTCAGGGTGCCGTTGGCCAAACAGTGTCAGCTGGCAGCCCCCAGGGGGAGAGCCTTCTCTGTGGGGGCACCTGCTATCTGGAATGAGCTCCCCCTGGAGATACGGAGGATCCCGGATCTACGCACCTTCCGCCGCGCCCTCAAGACTTTTCTATTTCAACAGGCTGGCCTGGCCTAACGTTTTCCTTTTTTAAATTATAAATTTTAAATTTGTCTTAACCATTGGGGGTGTTTTTAATTTGTCCTGGGCCAAATTATTTAATGTGGTTTTATACTGTTTTTAAATTTTGTAATCTATGTGTTTTATTTTTTGGCTGTTCACCGCCCTGAGTCCTTCAGGAGTAGGGCGGTATACAAATCAAATCAAATCAAATCAAATTCAAAGTATTTGGCTTTGAATGAAATCATTAGTTTTTCAAAAGATTTAGTATTGGTGAAGACTAGATCTTGAGTCTCCTTTTTGCAATGTTCCTCTCCCCAATGAGGAAGACTGCTCTCATTTTATCCTATGCAACTGTCTGCCTCTCTCAATTTCTCAAGCTCATATTGGTGAGGAAGAAAAAACAAGATTCTGTCTCAGAGGCCCCTTGCTCTTCAATTCTATTGCTGTCTGGTGAATCTTAGGTTTTAGTGAAAAACAAAGTGAACCCAAGCCTAAGTCTTTCCTCCTCTTTATTACATCAGTGGTGTGATAAATGCCACACCCCACTGTCTGTGCTATGTGCTGCATCATTATTATGATTATGCAATCAGCAGAATTCTAGCTTCCTGTTTTTAAATATTTTTTTAAAGAATTCCTGTGTTTCATGGAAACATGTTTTCAAGTCACTATCACTGACAGTGATCACAAGAATGTTTCTGAACAGACAGAAGTTTAAAAGAAGAGTAGGTAACATGATGTGAACAAAATTTAGCGTACTCTCTTTCACAAGTATTTTGTAATGTTGGAAGTTGTGATTGTTAAACTGCCAGTAGTTGAAAAAGTGCTATTCCAGGGCTAAAACTAGCAGGGCTCATCCTTATTTAATTAGCAGTTCCTAGATAAAAATACACCTTTGGTTTGCTAAGAAATTGTTTGATCAAATGCTTTAATTTTGAAACCTAATTATACAAAATAGTCTATGTTTCACTTATTTAAGAAAGGTTCTGCTTCTGAAAATAAAAGAAACAAGAAAGGATATCTTTTGCATTTTTGAAAAAGAAAATATGCTGAAAGTAATACAGGTAATACTTTTCTAATGCATTCCTCCGCAACTCTGTATTTGTAAAGGAAAAGTGAAAAATGAAGGAAAAATGGGAAATGTGTTTTGATCCAAATAACCTCAATATAATGTACATTTGAGAAAAAGAATCCTATCCTCACATAGATGCAAATGACTGATAGTTCTGATAGTTAATTCAATGAAAATGTCAATACAATGCAACACAGCTATGAAGGTGAATTCCATACTATGAGTCATTAGGAAAGGGATCCAAAACGATACCAACATTGTAATGTCTTTCTAAATATACTTTATGGATACATTTAAGATATTGTACAAACCTCAATTGCTTCTTCGCAAAAAATTAATATACTGGAAAAGGCTGTACATAAAATGAAGTTTAGAGTTGCAGGTTGTTTTTTCATTTTGAAAAAAAAATAACGGTAGAGATGGTAGAGATTTTGAAAACTATGCATGTCATGAAGAATGTGAATAGCGAATGCCTTTCCCTCTCTCATAATATAAATTGGATTTAACCTAAATTTATTCAATGAAGATGAACGATAGAAGATTCTGGAGAGTTTAAAGCAGTCTTTCTTAATCTTTTTACCCTGTTGGAAACCTTGAAATAACTTTCAGGTCTCAGAGAACCCCTGCATAAAAATGTTTTAAAATATGAAAATTCACAGTACAATTCACTTCTGGTCCATACAATCCATGTTTTCAACAAAGGGCCTTGACTCCAGCTGTGCAGGAATCCAAATTAGGGCACTTACAACCGAATGCTTTTTAGTCTACATCAGTGAAAATGCAGTTTCTAAATCACAGGGAATCATTGTTCCATTTTACTCTGTTCAGGTATTTTATTCAATTCTGATCATCACATTTGAAGAAAGATTCAGATCATCTTGAACAGGTTTGGAGAAGGGCAACACGAATAATTAAAGGACTGAAAACTAAGTGATAGGGAAAGAAGCCAAAGATGGTATGAATGGTTAGCTGAGACTGAAGGAAATAATCCTTTACAAATGTCTGAAGAGCTGTCACCAAAAAGAAGGTCAAGAGTTAAACCTTATCATTCTAGAGGGCAGTTTACTGAATTCAATTTTCAGAAAGGCAGATCTTGCCTGAATGCTTGGGAAAATGTAAGTGAAACCAATTGTTAAGGGAAATACTAAGCACCGCTTCATTGGATAAGCAGCATTCAAATGAAGTTACTTAGCATCTGACAAGGATGATTTACCACCCCAAGTTGTGCTGGAGATGACAAGGAAATCTGGAATTGGTGGCTGGAGTTGTTAGGATCTGATAGAACAAAACAAGCTCAGATTAAATCTTATCATGTTGCTCTTTGTCAATAAATATCTGGATAATAGAGAGATATCTGTCTTGGTAGTTATTCTTCACAGAATTGGGCTTCCTTTTCAAGAAGTGTTGGAGTTCCTCCTGGATTCTCGGTTCCTGATTAAGTAGCCAGGAGAAGCTGTGGCTAAGGAGCCTTCATCAGCCAGTTTTGAATGATGTACCAGTTATGACCCTATTTGGATCAGATGCTCCCAAGATAGTTAACCTTCATCCTGATCACTGGACTGCACTTTGTGTGAATCTGCCTTTGCAGGTGATACAAAATGCAGCATCTAGACTGCTAGTAGGAGCAGTCATTGCAGGATCTCACCAATTTTAAGGCACTACTGCCAATAGCTATTTGGACTCAATTCAAAGACTTGGTTTTCAGAACCATATTCCACCTCTGCCCTTCTAGCACAAATATCTAGTGACGCCTTGTTCGGGCTGAATGGCACAGAAAGCATGGGCTAGATGCCAGGCATTTTCATTTTTGCCTTAGTAACTACAAAATTCCCTGTGAAGCACTTTCTGCTTGTATATGAATCCAGCAACTATGCAGATAGAACTGATCCTTACCATTTTCTTTTCAGATGGATCAACAGTGTTGGGTGCAAGGTAACACCTATATTACATTCACATATTACAGTAAGATGAAGAAATCACTCTCCCAACCATAAATATCACCCTTTGGCCATCCAAAATGAGGTGGAGAAGAAATTTTCCAATTCTTACTCTCACTTTGCTATGTGCACAAATTACATGTATAAAACACGCCTCTTCTGGATATCATTACAAGATATATTTCTTCTTCTGAATTTCATTTAGATAGAAGAAGAAAACAGAGGCTGAGTATGCTGAATGCAAGTTTAAAATGTCTTGTTCATGATAAATGGCCAAGCAAAATCAGTGTCCTCCATGCAACTTTATAGCCTGAAGTCAATCAAAAGCTTTTATAAATCGAGTGTATCTTCAGTGTTTTCTCATTGTCAATACTTACTTAGCTGTTTGTTCATAAATATATTCCTCAGGACCCACAGAACTACTGCGAAATTTCTGAAAGGTGAAGAAATAATATATATATCAAAAATAGTTGAGCAGAAAGTCATGACTAACTTAAGTTCTACTGATTTCCACTTGACTGGATCCAATCCAATAGATCTAAAGACAAAATCTTTTCTAAAACATTCATATGAGGTACAAAATATCAATATAACTTTAAAAGAGGCAAGAAGTGTAGTTTTAGAAACACCTGTATTCAAGATTGTTTGAATCTCAAAAATACTTTGAATATTTTTTTAAAAAACTCTTAAATGGACTATTGCAATTCACTCTATATGGGTCTGCCCTTGAAGAGCCTTCAGAAGTTATGTCTCGTATGGAATATGGCAGCACATCCAATTATGTGCACTCCTTGATCAGCACATGTTACACCTTTTCTCCTTGAGCTGCATTGCGATTCAATTTATACTGCTGGCTGTAATATGCACTTCATTGCATGAGACCAAATTGTTTGAGGGACAGCCTCCATCTGTTTATGTCTACCCATTCTATTAGGCCTGGCAAAAAAGGCATGCTCCAGGTTTCATTTGCCAAGAAATGTTATCTGGCAGAACCAGGAACAGAGCATGTTTTATAAAAGCACCCTCCCTTCAGAATATCATTTCCCCTGAGAGAAAAATCTGGACCTGAGCTCATCACATGCTTGTGTTCCATCACTATAGTTTCCCAGGTAGTGGATAAATAATTTCTATCAAATCCTTTATATCTGGCTCCCAATGTATTCTCCCTTTAGAAGCTTTTTTGCAAGAGTTTATATGGCCTATTTCAATCTTAGCATTTGGTTCCATAATTACTGTGCAAGTCCCATAATAATGGAACATTTCATTGTTTATACTTTGAATAAATGTCCCAAAAGAAAAAAAAATCAAAAGGGAAGTATTCTAACAATGTAATATCTCTGTTATTGCACACAAGAATCTCCCAAAACATATTCAGATCTCTGTACAAAAGAGATTCTTACTACACTAAATCTCAACTATTTAAAAAAAAGTGTACAATCCAGTGGTGGGTTGCTCCTGGTTTAGTCCGGTTGTTGCGAACTGGTAGTAATGGTGGCAGGAGGCTCTGCCCACCCACCCCCACCCCACATCATCACTGACAATCTGTGCATGCGCAGAAGCATGGTCCCATTGCGAACCGGTAATAAAGGTAAGTGGAACCCACCCCTGGTACAATCTATATTTCATTAAGCCTTCCAGGACAAATACAAAGCAGCATACAAAATTCAAAACAGTCTAAATTTTAAAAAATTAAAATGATATGTTCAAACTCTAAGAGAATCAAAATTCAAATATATTAAGGTAATAGATTAGAAAATGTAATAGAACAAAATTATCTCTCTGTGTGTCATTTGAAAGGATAAGAAAATTAGCTATCAACTCTGAAGCGAGCCTGGAGTTATTACTTGGAACGCTGACATTAGCATCGGTTGCAGAGATAATCCTACAAACCTATAACAGCATTGAAAGACTTTCTAGCTAGTCATCTTCTGCCTTTGGAGAAGGACACTTGGAATACATCCTCCAAAGATGGAATTTATCCCACTTGGTAACTCAAAAATACCCATTACCCAAAGCCATTGTTTTAGAGTTTATTTCTCAGTTATGCCTAAATCACTGATTTATTGGGGTGATAAAGTGAATGAACTGCCCTGACTTCCATTGAGAAAAATAAAAAACATGTCAACAATGAATGAACCTCACACTTTCTGCTCCCACATTGCCCAAAATAATAGACATACCTCTGTTCCTCCATCTTTAAAGGTATCACTGTAAGTACTGTCTGGAGTGCTGCGTTGATCGTCTTTCATATAGGTTGAATGGGGTGTGATGCTGGGCACTTCATAATGCGGATGCTCAAATATGACCCCCCGATGTTCTTCATTTTCTCCCCTGGCATAATGCACCGAAGGAGTCATGTAAACTGGGGTATATTCCTCTGCTTTCACCACCATCACCCCGGTCACAGAAATGGAGGATGGGCTTCCTGATACATTTGAACTGAACTGCTCCCTTTTGGAAGTGTCCAGCTGCTCTTGGTTCACGGAGAGATTTACTGGCACCGTTTTCAAAACCTGCACTCTGTTTTCACCATTGCTGCTCAAGTTACTTTGCGTTTCACTGGTGGAAAGACAGTTTCTGAGGGGAAAAAATACAGCGAGTAAAAGCAAATTTTGAGAGACGGCAAATAGATTAAATACAAGCAAATAAAAAATCAAATCATTTATTTAATGAAATGTTATTAGCACGGGTGTTGATATCTATGCTGAACTAGAAAAGGGAACCCTACATTTGAATTTGCATTGAGTCATGAAATTCACTAGTAACCTTGGGCTAGGTGGAAGGAGAGAATTATGAATGTGTAAATTTGACTTCCTTCAAAGAAAAGTAGACTATAAACAACACTCCAGGCTGCTGTCCTGATGTTTATAATGCTTTGGATTAATATTGCAAACAATCCTGGAACATATTTATGAAGGGCAGTATAGAAATAACAATAAGTCATCTGAAGTATCATGAATGTAACAGTTGCACTGTTTGTGTAGCTTGCTCATTGTCTATCACTACACCATGGAATGCTGCTGTTGCTTCAGCTGTTCAAGCAGGAAACCCTATACCATTTTAGACAAATGGTTATTCAATCTCTTTTTTAAAACCTCCAGTATTTACAATACTTAATCTATTATCTTCTATAATCCCAACACTTCCAGTCTTGTTTTTAAAAAAACTTGGCTAATTTTATCTTTATCTTTAGATAAAATATCCCATCACACATACTATATACACAGAAAGAGAGAGAGACAGATTTAGAGATATATTGTACCTTTTGTCCTGGTCTTCTTGATTATCACTAACTTTGTTAACAGGCAATAATCTTCTATCTCTTGGAACCTGAAATATCAGGACATTTTTAATGTTATATTTATTTAAAGGATATTAAGGGCTCCTTAACAATAGTGGTGGAACTATTAGGATTGATGACCAGATCTAAAACTTCAGACCAGTTTTACTTGGTCTTTGGTAGTCTGTGGATCACATGAAAGCAGACTACAGTTTCAAGGGCAGATTACAACTAGTTCCAAAATATATCCCTTGGTTAATTTATTTATTTATTTCCAGGACTTATTGTTGTGTATCTCATATAATGACTCCAAGTGGCTCACAACAATTCATAAAAAACATAGTTTAAAAAATACTCTTGCCCTTTAGGTATCAGATCAATTATCCTCATATCAACCTCTTGGGTTGAGCCTGGAAATGTAACTGGAGCCAGATTTATTTAAATGCAACAGATTTACCTGCTGTACAAAACCCATTTTCAGCATCTTATTCCCTACCTTATAATAGTCATATAATAATCCCAGAGCAGCAGCACTGTCCTCGTCTCCGTTGATGCTCATCATAGCTTTAGTAGCTGCTGTTAAGGGGTTTTCCAGATAAGACTTCCAAGCTTCATCTTCACTTGTGTAAGCTCTTCTAGTATTAAAGGGAGCATCACTTGGCACAATAGTCACAAGCCGGTTTTTACTGCGGTTTAAAAACACAAAAAAGCATGCTATCATATCCGAAATACCTTTCTTTACCAATAGCTCATTTTAATCCTAAACAGGATGGCAAGGGACAAACTAATCTAATAATTTAAAAAACTTTCAATGCAACAATTAAAAACAATAATTGATATGCTCTGTTATCCCACTGAAAAACAGATGCAAAAAATGAACAAAACTGATCTTCTCTGTATTCCATAACTGGAAACACTGACAAGGTTCTTTATGGAACCGATATTGAAGACTTTCCAATGTGTATATTTCATTATAGTTTTGTGTAGAAATTCCTCTTCACAACTTAATACTGCATTTTCAACGAGAACCATTTTGTATAATAATGACTAGGGCAGTATTGCCAACCCAACATCCTCCAGATATCACAGTCTGCAACATTTGTCATAATGATAGTGAAGATGAGATGGGCAAAAACTGGGCTACAGCACTGGATTAGAATCAGAAAAGTTGGGACCTGGTTTCTATTTTGCTAGAACTATCTTAGAGCAGAATAGCAGACTGGAGATTACAATCTCTCTGGTCTTGTCAAAACAAAATTTTGTACTTGGCTTTTAGGCAAGTCAAAGCCTCTCAGAATTATTTCATACAGTGATATCAAGTGAAAAATGAGGGCAACAACATGCTTATTCCTTGAAGGAAGGATGAAATATAAGAAAGCATGTGCTTTCTTTCATGTAATTATTTTGGTCACTTGTAATAGGGAAGAACCTCTTAGGTTAAGAAATCACTGGAAATTATGGGAAAAAATCAAAGACTCTGACTATAGAAGTAATCCATAATATATTAAAAAATCCATAAAGGGCAGCTTGTAAAAAGAGCTGGATTCATATTTTAAATTGTTTGTAGAAGATCCCAATAAATAATAATAATTCAACTTATGTACTTACATGGCCAAAATATTAATTAGTACATAATTCAACTTATGTACTACATTGAACCAAATATTAAGATTTTAAAAACAGAATATTCCTTTAAACTATTTATTTTGCTTGTTATCCTCCCACTTTCCAAGCAAAATTCAATATTTGTTACATACAACTAAGGTACTATGATGACTGACAGAGTCGTCCAGCTGTCCCAGCCAAAAAATTCATTTTACTAATCAAAATACAGAACTCCCATAACTCTGGAAATCAAGTAAATCAAGTAAAATATAATTCTAATTATTGACTAAGTTTGGTCATACATTCCATTGCAACATCAGACTTTAAAAATTAAAAAAGTAAGTATTGAAATTGTGCAAAATTAACCATAGAGTTTTTTCAAATGTGGCCATGGAGAGTTCTGTGTTTGATATTGACTTTGGAAAAATGTTGCCCAGTGGGTCCATTTCAAAGGCAGCATCTTCCTCCAATCTATTCGCTGGCCAGTGCCATAAGCTTGTTAAAGATGCATACCGATTATACAGTAGCAATGTGCCAGAGGCCCCATTTTTATTCCCCACAATGCCCCCCAAATGCCAGTGCTCCTAAAAATTAACATAGCACCTCCTCCCTCAATGCTTAGTCTAGAAGTCTGGGTTTTTTTAAGGGAAGTGGGATCTATGAGATGTCAGAAGTCGAGTCCTAACAGTTGCCCAAACATGTTGAGTTACTGACACAAGACATGGAAAAGCGTTGAGAAATATCAGGCTACGTCAAGAAGTCAGAACATGTAGGTAGGCAGGGAATCAATTACACAATAACTTTACCATTATCAAATGCTAGTAGTTAAAATATTTTAACAAGCAGCTGATACATACTGTATTAGCTCAGTCCTTTTAATTAGGTATATCTTCAGATAAACTGTCCATACTGAATTAGCATGCAGTTTTAAAATGTTTTAATTTCTTTATTCAACCCACTGCTTGACAAATTATCAGAAGCTAAGGATAACTAAACCTAAGCACATCCTTAGGAATATAAGAAATTGCCCTGACACCAGAATCTAATTTATTGTTTATGAAACCTACTAATATGGTTAACTGTGGTAAGCAGTTTAACTCACCAGCTACTGGATTCTTTTAAGAGAAGATGCCAAATATTGAACATGTGTGCTTAAAATCAGAAAATTCAATCTTTTTGAGCCATGAATTGTCTTTTAATCACTGAATAAAGTGCCATGAATTTTCTTACAAAATACTAGGAGTGGCATAAAAGCTAAATTAAATTTACATCAAATTAAGATGGTTAAAACAATTATTTCCCATCAATTTAATAAATTTCTCCAATGTCCTAATCATTATTATTTGGTGTTAAGTTTTGAAGGAGCTCTAGGTATTTACCTAAATTTCAAGGACAAATTCTACACACGTATTTTTCCATGCAAATCTTTTTATATCTCTGACATAAAAACCCATTATGGACTTCCAGCACTTAAAAAATATCAAACAGATGACATTAATATTGGTGATTCAAAAGAGTTCTGTTCCATGTTTAAATATCTTCTGACCAGGGACAAATCGGTTAAAAAAAGGAAATTAAACCAAATATCACTTTTTGTATTAGAACACCACAAATATCTGTTTTCACAGGAAAGTAATCCAAGTGTATGAGGAATGTACTCAATGCAGCCCCCAAATGTCTAAAATCAAAGACCTGCTTTCTCACCAGTTGAGCCAGGAAACATTAAAAGTCTAATATAGATTTTAAAAAGCAAATTCCCCAACAAAACCAGGAAAAAAGAGCCCCAAAGAAATCTTGATGTCACCCATATTTTTGCCAAAGCTCCATTAATTCATTACCCAAAGATGCTTTTTCAGAAGGCAACTGGGCTGTCTTTATTTTTCCTTGAAGACGTTTCTCTTCTCATCCAAGAAACTTCCTCAGTTCTGAAGAAGCTTTGTGGATGAGAAGTGAAACGTCTTCAAGGAAAAACAAAGACAGCCCAGTTGCCTTCTGAAAAAGCACTTTTGGGACAACCATGACCTGGATGACTGAGAATCTCCATAGACATTAATCCACTACTTTTACCATCTTTTCTCACCCTCCCCCCAAATGTTAAGGGTGGCCTAAAGCAGGGGTCCCCAACCCCCGATCTGTGGACCGGCACCAGGCTGCAGCATGCCAGAAAATGGGCTACACAAACAAGTGAAGCCTCATCCGTGTGATGCAGGCAGCATGTGAAACCACATACCCCTCCGGTCCACAGAAAAACCTTTCTCCACCGAACCAGTCCCTGGTGCCCAAAAGATTGGGAGCTGCTGCTGGCCTAGAACCACCGAAAAATACTACATTCCTGATTTACATCAGTTACAAAGATTATACAGCTCAATTTGGGGTTGTCGGGATAGGGATGTTGCTATATTTTGTATTGCAAGAAACACACTATTATTGCATAGCAGCTTCCTGTAGAAAGAGCTTCTTGCATTTGTTTGGATATTTTCCCCTATCATTCCTGCATTATACCAAATATTAAAGTGCCACTCTGGATTATTTGAAAGGAAAATTCATTGCTGCTTATCTGAACACTTGGCTGAAATAATTTTATAGGTGCCATTTTCAAAGAATGAATGGCAGAAGGAATATGAGGGAGGAAGATAAGGCCTGGGAAGAGTAGATAAAAATGTGTGGGAGAACCTAATGATTATATTATAAATGGAACTCTTGAACTGTAAGTTTCAATTTCTCTGCCAACTGCAGAAAATGTTATTTATCTTCTCTTTCGCCTTCCAGCAGTTTGCTTACTCTATAGTGTGTGTGTGGGGGGGAATCTTCATCTAGTTATCTTGATGTGGCTAACCTCAACCTAACCCTGACCTTCCCCTAAGGCAAGGCTTCACTGGCTTTGATGAAGCAAGCTAATTGAGAATGACCCAGAAGGTAGATGCAATCTATACATTAAGCAACCTTGAAGCAGTCAAAGTCAGATGCAGCACAAAAGACAGGACTAATTTCTTGGGGGCAAAATTTGTGAGACATCTGCAAAGGGACCAAGAGCAGAAGGAATCCAAGAATGGTGCAGAAGAGGATTGGTGATCCAGGATTTTATTCCTGAAATTCTGTACCGTACACACATACGCACAAACCTCTCCTTGGCTTTGATTGAGGTTCATTACTAATTGTTTAAAAAATTACTGAACTTCATTGAATGTCAGGAAATAAACCCTTAAAGAGACTGGTGCCAATTCCAGAGGTTCTCTTCCACTTCGCTGCAATCCACTCCCTTTCATAGGAAACTAGTAGTCACTCAAGCAAATTTATTTAGATTTGTAGCTGAGAATTCTGGAGTTGTCATTCCCATACATCTGGGAGGTGCCAGCTAGGAAAGGCTACATTTAATGTTTCAAGAAAGAATGAGTCAATAGGAGGATTTTAGCTTTGAAGTTGGGGTCATGCATGCATCTACTCAGTTGCATTCTTACAAGTTTAGAGTAGCAAATCACCCACCACAGGGTTGTTTGTTTTTCACCTGACAAATAAACAAATACTGTCCTGAGAAAAGAAACTGAGCTCATTTCAAAGAAAGGCCACCCTTCAGATTTCTCAACAGGGAAATTTCTATTTAAGCCAAATAATATGTAGAGCTTTATTTTGGAATAATTCCATGGTTTTCCAAAGGCAGACTTGTAATGCAGGAGTCTCTCTCTCCCCCCCCTCTCCCTCTCTCTCTCACTCACTCTCACACACACACACAGCATTGACTTGTCTCCATAAAACAAGATCTCTCTTGTCTTTGTACCGGAAAGTATGTATCAACACTATGAAGTCAAGAAAGTAGAAGATGATAAGCCAACAAAATAATAGCTGCTCCAGTACCTTAAAGCTGATACACAAGAATAGCTCTGCTCTGCACCTCACTAACCACCCTAGGAATTATGTTCAGTTGTAGCTAAACATAATCTGTAAATAAATATAAATGCTGTCTGTCCACCATTTCTCTAAGATTATCTGCTGTCTTTTAAGGCAAAGGATGTTACCCCAATAGAAAGTTGGATTCAGTTCCCAGTCAAATCAGCTTTTGTATGTGAAGGAGGAGGGGTATCTT